GATTGAAGACATTTCAAGCACTTACAAGATTAAATAGTGTTAAACACATATGAATGTAATAAACAATGTAATAAAATACAAATAAACTATGCTGTATACCTATATATTTATATATATATATATATGTATATATATATATATATCTCCAAGAATGTATATATATATATACATATATATATATATCTCCAAGAATGGCATATTTTAACCTTCTAGTATTAAAGGTCCTTTTAATGTCTATATTTCAATAAGCTGGGGTTGAGATATCTTAGATAAATATTCCTGAGTTAGCAAAGCATATTGTTGTTTTCTCTTTTAATGGAAAAAAACCCTCCATATAATCAGTTCATTAGAAAGAATTAGGCAGCCGCAACGTTAAAATGTTCCAAAGCTTATGAGAGCCAGAGGTGTGCATCTCATTGGGTTTGGAATAAAACAAGGAATGTGAAAAGATAAATTTAATTCAAACAACACAAACATCATCCTGTGTGTTTATATATAACATGCATTTCCTCTATCTCCTTCTCTTTATTTCTACCAGTGGTCACTTTCGTCTCTAATCGTTCAGTGTCATCACCCCCACCCCCAATTATTATCTAGGCTATCTTGGTATGTTAAGAGTCTCTTTTTGAGCTGAATGAATGTGTGTCTTTGCAGCGACACAACCCTCAGATCAGAGAAGTGTCTCTGCATCTCTTATCTCTAATCAACATGCGCATTTTGAGTTCCTGGCCAGGTCTTTCCAATAGTAGCAAGGCCACACTGCAACCCCTCCCTCCCACACCTCCATTTTTATACCCCTCTCTCACTCACTGCCAATTAACATGTTCCAAGGTCCGTTTGAGCAGCTATAGAGTTAAAGAATTGTGCCGCTCGAACATTCTAATGAAGGTTTTTCAGTGTTTGGGTTGAACTATATTTTTCTTACTACAGAGTTGTATTCTTGTGTTGGGGAAAGGCTTAATTATTCATTGATTTTATAAATCGATGCATTATAAACCAATGCATGTTCATGCTATTAAGTTATGGTGCCTTAGTTTCAAAAATCCTCAGGTTGCAACCTGCACTAATAAACAGGATTTCTTTGTCAATGCTCAGATTCACATTACAGATTGCTAGAAAAAAAATATTTTATCCAAGTCACACACATAAGTCCGAAGTCTTCTGGTACGCTTAGACTTTGAATAAATATAACTGTGATTTCCTTGGAGCTTGTTAAGATGTTAATAACCAGAACTTTGTTAATATGACGGAGCTGATCATTATAATTTTGTGAATCCTGTCACATTCTATCTATACTGTGAACATTCCAGAACTGGCTGTCTTTCAATATATGGTATGCCTAAGGGGCCACCCATGCACAACTATTTTGTCAAAGTGTACCAAGTGATTTTACAGGTTTGGAGTTGTATCATAGCTGATATTATTTATGCACACTCTAAAGAAAACATTAGAAAGAGCAGATTGCAAACTTGTCTTGATTGATTTAGATAATTACATATGATTTGGTTATCACTCGTTTGGACATCACATCCTCTTCACATACTGCATCCCAATGCATTTTAATAATCTGTATGTATCAGAGAATATTTTTATGATGTTACAATGACATAAACAGAATTTCATCTTTGTATTATCTTTTCATGCCTCTAATCGGCCTTACACACAGAGCTTAAACCACACCACAATAGATATAGAACAGAAAAGGAAAAAAAACGGATTTCCGGAACTTAGAGTGGTCGTTTTTTAAAGCTAATAATAAAGATAGAATGGTCAATAGCAAGCTGTGGTCTGGGAGAAAACAGCAGAAACAAGTACACACAGACACAGGCCAAGGTAAAGAATTACAGAAATCAGGATGCTCAAGTACTATATCTAGAAGTCCAAACACAGGAATCGATTACAGATTTAGAAAGGCATTTGCGGATTTACCACAAGGAAAACCATGACAGGGCAAGGATCAGCACAAAGGGGGAAGCTTATATAGATCAGGTTAGTAATGATTGGTCTTTTCCATTCCTGCTACCCCAAATAGTGCTCTGGCAATGTCACAAGAAGGATGGCGTGCCTCAGAAATGGTGCAGGCTGATCTGGCGTCATTAAAGGACACCGGTTTGTAGTGTACAGCATCCAAAATTATACCAGAATGTTGATGGAATGGAGGAAATTCACATCAATATTGATGCTTGAATGACACTGAATAGTAGACACGCAGCAGTCTACCACAAGGATGACCCAATGATGATGCACAGATGTCGCAGTAATGGTACATAAGTTTTGTTTTAATTCTGTTGATACTTGCATTTAGAAAATGGCTGAACAGTTAATTAAAAATACATTAATTGTTTCCTTTAACACACTTTGCATCTACAGACTACATTTTGTTTTGCTGTACAAATGAACGGTAAATGAAAAATAGATAATAGTAATATAAACTTATTGTTCCCACCATCCCAGTACAGCTATTCATCTTATAGAAATATTCATTCCTCTGAAATGTATTCCAATATCGTGACCATCTCCTCTTGCCTTTACTTGTCCGTGACTTTCCCCACGTAACCTTAATCTGTCGCTCTGTCTTAGCCTATCTAAACTCTGTTTTACGTATAGTTTCAGTCTTCTCTTTCTCCTGTATTCAGGATACAACTGTAAAAGAATGTGTGACTATGAACACGATTGAAGACTTGACAATTAAAACTGTAAATGAGCACTTGCGAGCAAGCATGCAGGTGCCACCAGAGGCAGGCACAAGAGACCCTAGAACACCTAGAACATCAAAAGAACATTAAGAATTCATCCACTTACAGAACGTTGATAAGGGCAGTTTGCCAAAACCTTGGGGTGGAGGGAGAGGTCTATGTTGGTTCTTGGTGCCCGCTCTCCTATTTGGTCATATTTAATAATCTATAATGGGATTTGGAATATGAGCACCCTTAATCTATGAGGTTTTAAGGAGCTTGTATGTGTGCCCTCCTTTCTAACATGTATTTAAACTGAAGGTAACCAACCGAAGTGGAGTGTGCTGTTGCAGCAAAAGTTTGTCAGTAATCAATTTAGATTTATCAGCTACTTTTAGATATGAAGCTAGATTTATTGAATCAATTATTAGTTGTTAAAGGCAATCAATGGTGTATAAAGTTGGTACAGAGTGATGAGAAAACCCCCTGGAATAAGCACAATTAGGTGACTCATCTCATATGTAGGGACTTGCAAGTGCAAGCAATATTTACGTTCAGAAGAGGCACTCAGCAAACCATTGCCAAGAGAAGGAGGATAAACATTATCTGAGCATGGACATGGTGTTTAGAAGGACATCAGTCATCATATGTACTAAGTGAGTCTGACAGAAACCAAAACTAGGAGGAGCTGCAGACCGAAACCGGTATGGTTGTCTGCCTGTCTCTACAGTGACAGTGACACTCTCGATGCTAATGTTGTGCTTTCTGTTACTCTGTATATAATCCATTTATTACTAAGGTTTCATCCAGTTAAGTTAATTTCAGCATGTATACATTATATCACTCAGGTTTTCCCTGGGATTTGTCCTGTCTCAATTAAAACCCAGAAGTGGGTGTGGTCTCTCAGTCAATCCCCTAACACTCACAGCTTCTAGGAGAGAATATGCATGATGTTTTTATTATTATTATTATTTAACAAGCGCCAACAAATTCGGCAGCAGTGTGCAATGGGAATGTATGCAATAAAATACCTATCAAGCTGGGCAAATTTGAACAAACATATTAAGCCAAAGTTATTTAAATATTTACTTCAGAGTGTTACAGAATGGATCACTTGCATCAAGTGTCCCTTTCAATCTTAGAACCTATCCTGAATCATCTTCCATTCGACCTTTCCCTTCTGACCACCTCCGTCTGTGACATAATGACTATATCAAGATTATGAGATATGATAAAAACGGCTTACCTGTGTGTATGTTGTTATAGTAAGTGTCTTCTACATTTTTTTAAAGGCTTATGCTAATCTTAGTTTGTTAACCATTACTAATGACTTTGAAATAGTATTGGTCTGACATATTGATTGTTCTACAGCTATAATATTCTAATATGTGCTACTCCCGTAATCCTTGTGTTAAACATTCCTGTTAGTCCCACTTACATGCTGTTGCTTTTCTAATTCTACTTATAAACAACATCAACCTGCTACCTACTGTATGATTATTGGGGCTGGTTTCCTTTTATGGCACCCTAAAAATATTTCCAGAGAATGTTTTTTTTAATCAAAAGACCAATCTAACGCAATCATACATGTTCAGATACATTGTATTGATATGTATAAAAACAAATAAATATGTTCTTTAAAAATATATATATATATTTTTTTTTCCAGGCAAAGAAATAATGTATACAGTAGAACAATCAGCACATAGCATAGATTTACACAAGCAGATTTTGGTGTAAAGAGGTTTTGCCCAGTTTTATATTTAAGGGGTGAACATAATACAGAAGCCTGCTGGGTCATGTGTCCTTAAGGGGTTAAGATCCCTAGACTAGGGGTTGATTTACATTCAGGCAAATTAAATTAAGGTGGAATGGCGCCTGCTTTGTACATGAAAATAAATGAAGGACTCAGCCCTATGGGTCTTATGAAGGGAACCAACGATTGAGTCGTAGGGGTACTATGTAGTGAGGATTCAGGTCAAGAGGGGTAAATATTAATTGTATTCCACTTAATAACCCCTGAGTGCTTGGGGGTGAAGGGGGGGTAGTTGCAATACCCTAATAGTGGGGCTGATCATATGTGGTGAACGAGCATATGAAGTTAAGGCCTGGAACTTAAAACCCTGAAAAGAAAAACACAAAAGCAACTATAACAAATGTAACTGGTTGAATGGTCAGTCCATCACTGCACAGATGGCTTGGGCTCCTTCCCTTCTTCAACCCGTGTCGGCCACGGAAGGTGGTGTAAAAGGGACGATATTGTGTACATCCCAGCTGTGGCCTGGTTGTGGAATGCTGTCAGAGAATGAGGTAAGGCCTAGACCCTTAAGGAAGGTTGCGGAGTCCTCCACAGTGGAAAGTAGGTGAGTGCGACCATCCCTGGTAACTGTCAGGGCTCGACCTTCTCCATTCCAAGGTGGATCGCCTTAAGTCTTGCAGGAGCTGGAGTTGCATCTCCTCAAATTGAAGCGGTGGTCTGGTTTTCACTGTGTCTTGCAGTGCCAGCTTGTCCCGAAGCAGTGGGAAGCATACTGGGACATCTCGGCCTGAAGCAGCCGTCAACTTGAATGCCTTTTGGTGAGAGTTGGGGCAGGAGAGTAGCCAGTAAGCATCTAAGAAAATGAGGCAGTTCATGTTCGTTAACGGATTCGTCAATACACCTACTTTTTAGCCTTCTTCCCCATTAGGTGGTAGTGCTCCGGTCCCGAAATTCGGCGGAATAGAGGTAAATAAATGTCTCCAACAAGGTCCGTGCAGTGTAGGCTGCAGGAGCTTAGCCGACATGCGTCTGCTCCCATCAAAGTCATGCCCCCAAAAAATGTGTTCTAACTTGCTTTAGGTAATGCTTCTTTATTGCATGTTCTCAGGTATCTAACCTGCCGCCTCTAGTTTTGTTCTCACAATTTTTTTAAACTAATTCAATTACAAAGGGGAGAGGAGGCACTCTTTGGAAAGGAACAAAAGGGTGCCTCCTGTAACTTTAAAAAGAAGAGGATAATTGGTAATCTCTAAACCAATCAATTGCCTCCTATGATTATAATTAGAAAATTAGCAAACATGCTCATTAAATCATAAAGATCAGTGAAATGTGCCGTCTTCCATTGACCTATCATTCTCATTTTTTAAAATCAATAAGCCCATAAGTATATTTCTGTTGATCATTGTATACAGTTAGGAGCAAGGGCTTATGGGACCAGGCCAGGTGATCAGATATCAACTTGATAAGCACTTTCTCTCATTAGCTAGACATCACGGGGATAGGACTACACTGCATGCTTTTATTATAATTATGTTTAAGATATAAACATTATTATTGCTGCCAAACACATGCAGTGACCATATGTTTAATACACCTGCACACTAATGCAAATGTCTAATGAACGGCATCTAAATGTGCAAGAAGCATGCAGACATGGTCAGAAAGTTCAATTTTTCAGTTGGGGAAGAAATTTGATCTGATCAACTTGACCACACAAGGATGTTGATGCCAGAAATTATTATTAGTGATAGTATTTATATAGCACCAACATAGTCCTCAGCGCTACAAAATTATAGAAGGGCCCTGCTCAAAGGAACAATCTAAGAGGATTTTTGAGGTAGGCAGATTTATAATTAGATATCTTACCCAAGGACACTTACTGGTAAGGTAGTCTGACCAGAATTCCCATTCATGTTGTCCAAATGAGAGAAAATAATTCTGCTTTATAAATTGGGGTTTACAAGATATAGATATTTATAATGAGCTTTAGAACATAACCTAATTAACAATATAGTATTTGGCAGACAATTTCAGCGATTTAGACATCTTCTGACCAGTTTTTCTGGATCTTAAATGGTATTAACCAGACCAGTTCAGCTGTTATACTCGAAATAAAATTATTTTTGCTACAAAACCCGACCTAAACATGCTTAGCATATTAATGACTTAACAGTGATAGGGGGCCATCTGAGGGTTAATACAAGAGAAACATAAATGTATTTGTCAAAATATGAATCTTTTGTCTGCATAATGTTTTCTGTTAAATGCAACAAATAGTTGTTTTCAATTCACAATGTGACTTTTATAGCTCAGATGTAATGGTCTGTGGTGAATGTGTTCAATATGCAGGAGGTTGCAAGGAGACCTGTCACTTTGTTTTTGTATGTCACTTTGTTTTTTTCTGTTTTTTCTTATTTTAATTTTGGAGCTGAAAACAAAGACCATTCGTTTATTTGCATTCCCTCAAAGAGACTAATCATATATTTGGCCATAACCGTTCGAATACTGAATATTCTGTCGAACGACCGACCACCCAGAGAAGGAGTGTGGCACCAATTAACCCTCTTGACCTGTACAAACCGCAAACACCTCAACGTTCCAATGGATTAACAGGGTGGTCGGTGTTCGTCTGTGCGAACACGTGGCAGCGGCCATTTTGTTTAGTCGAACGCACTAAGCGCTGTTTGGTCGTCGACCACGTGGAACTGATTTCAGCTACCTTTTTCCACGAACACCGCTGAACTTCTACCTTCCGTGTGTTCGACTAGAATCATACAAACAAGGCGTTAATTCGTGAGTTTATTTATACGAACAATCTGCATCCAGTGATGGCAGGCACAAACGGTTCCGTTCGTGTATTTTACACTTATTATAGAGGGAAAATAGACATAGAAACATAGAAACATAGAATGTGAAGGCAGATAAGAACCATTCGGCCCATCTAGTCTGCCCAATTTTCTAAATACTTTCATTAGTCTCTAGCCTTATCTTATAGTTAGGATAGCCTTATGCCTATCCCACGCATGCTTAAACTCCTTTACTGTGTTAACCTCTACCACTTCAGCTGGAAGGCTATTCCATGCATCCACTACCCTCTCAGTAAAGTAATACTTCCTGATATTATTTTTAAACCTTTGTCCCTTTAATTTAAGACTATGTCCTCTTGTTGTGGTAGTTTTTCTTCTTTTAAATATAGTCTCCTCCTTTACTGTGTTGATTCCCTTTATATATTTAAATGTTTCTATCAAGCTCACGATCACACTCATGCTTACTACAGACAAGCTCATTGGACACACATGCTCACCACAGACAGGCTCCGACACACCCATGCTCCTTACAGACAAGCTCACTAACACACACACATATGATCCCTACAGACAAGCTCACTGACACACATACAAGCTCACTCACTAGCAGGCACACACACACACACACAAACTCACTAGCAGGCACACACACACACACAGAGGCTCCCTCACTAGCAGATGCACGCACACACACACACACAGCGGCAGACAGTCACTGACACCCAGGCAGACAGCCACACACACACACACACACAGGCAGACAGTCACTGATACCCAGGCAGACAGCCACACACACACACACACACACAGGCAGACAGTCACTGACACTGAGGCAGACAGCCACACACATACACAGGCAGACAGCCACACACTCACACACACAGGCAGACAGTCACACACACGCACACACAGGCAGACAGTCACACACACAGGCAGACAGTCACACACACAGACAGTCACACACACAGTCACACACACAGACAGCCACACACACAGACAGTCACACACAGACACAGTCACACACAGACACAGTCATACACTCACACAGACAGTCACACACTCATACAGACAGTCACACACACACACACACACAGTCACACACACACAGACAGTCACACACTCACACACAGACAGTCACACACAGACAGTCACACACTCACACAGACAATCACACACAGTCACAGTCACACAGACAGTCCAGCGAACAGTCACACTCTCACACACAGACAGTCACACACTCACAGTGATCACACAGTCCACACAGACAGTCACACACAGACAGTCACACACTCACACAGACAGTCACAGCACTCACAGGCAGTCACACACAGACAGTCACACACAGACACACACAGTCACACACAGACAGTCACACACTCACACAGACAGTCACACACTCACAGGCAGTCACACACTCACACAACAATCACACACAGACAGTCACACACTCACACAGACACACACAGTCACACACAGTCACACACGACAGTCACACACTCACAGGCAGTCACACACTCACACACACAGTCCACACACTCACACACAGACAGTCACACACACACAGACACAGACAGTCACACACTCACACAGACAGTCACACACTCACACACACACACACACACACACTCACACAGACACAGACAGTCACAGTCACGCACACACAGGAAGACAGTCACACACACAGGCAGACAGTCACACAGACACAGACAGTCACACACTCACACAGTCACACACTCAGTCAGACAGTCACACACTCACACAGTCACACACAGACAGTCACACACTCACACAGACAGTCACACACACACACAGACAGTCACACACTCACACAGACAGTCACACACAGAAAGTCACACACAGACAGTCACACACTCACACAGACAGTCACACACACACAGACAGTCACACACTCACACAGACAGTCACACACAGACAGTCACACACTAACACAGACAGTCACACACACACAGTCACACACTCACACACAGACAGTCACACACTCACACAGACAATCACACACAGTCACATGCTCACACAGACAGTCACACACTCACACAGACAGTCACACACAGAGAGTCACACACTCACACAGACACACTGACCTCCTTCTTACCTCCTGTTTGTTGCTCCTGCAGGCTGGTTGTTGGGGAAGCAGGGACTCCTTCCTGCTTCCCATGCTGCAGTCAGCCAGGCCGCCGCTGCAAGTAAGCCCCGCCCCGCTGCACGCTAAGCCCCGCCCCGCCGCAATTTTTTTTTTTATGATCCCGGCCGGCCGTGTGTGAGCTGTGCCGCCTTGCTCCCCCTGCTCCCAAGGGGCTCTGTGCGGCCGCACAGCTCACACATGGCCCGCCGGGATCACAGGAGCTGTCAGCCCAATGATCAGGGCTGTCAGACCGGCCCCATGTGCGGCGGCCCACCGGAAAATTTCCCGGCATCCCGGTGGGCCAGTCCGGCCCTGGTATAGTGGATACAGAGTGTGTGTGTGTAGTGGATGCAGTGTATGTGTAGATGTTGTGTAGTGGGTGCAGTGCCTGTGTAGTGGGTGCATTGCCTGTGTTTGTGTAGTTGATGCAGTGTAGTGTGTACAGTGTCTGTGTATTGTGTGAAGTGTAGTGGATGCAGATAATGTGTGTAGTGGATGCAGTGTCTGTGTGTAGTGCATGTAGTGTATGTAGTGTGTGTAGTGGATCCAGTGTCTGTGTGTATTGCATGTAGTGGATGCTGTGACTGTGTGTGGTGCATGTAGTGGATGCAGTGTCTCTGTATAGTGCATGCAGTGTCTGTGTGTAGTGCATGTAGTGGGGCTGTGAGGGATGATCATTTAAAAAAAAAAAAATTATGATTGATATATTTTGCCTGTGGCCAGGGAGGGAGACACTAGTTTCCATGGTGGTTCAGTGGCACATTTTGCTTTGTCCTGTAGAGAGGAGACCCAGAAGTCTGATGTTTCCCTCCTGCAGCTTCATATCAGCTCCTCTCGCGAGTGAGCGTTGCTGCGGGTTGCTATGTCAACGCTTTGCGTGGCACATAATGCACGGCCAAGCGTTGCCATGGCAACCCACAGCAAT